AGCATGCCAAGTCCACGAACCGATGCTGTAAATTATTATGGCTACTAGGTCAGAAGACTCAGGACAAAATTCATTCACCTGAGTATCTGAAAATATGATCAAGTTGCGAAAACAAGATCAAACCACTTATGTACAATAAAAGGAGACGGTGGTCACATTATCTTGATCTTTGCACCTTAGATTGAATAAATTTACTTATTTACTATAAAGAGTTGCAAGTTTCCCAAAGATATGAAGATCAAGATGGTGTAGATTCACGTTTGGTTCCAGTCTCCTTTGATTTTGGTTGGCATGAATTCGTTTTAGCAACTTTGTCGGATCGACAAGAGGACCTTTTAGGGGAGTGGGAGAATGTGATGAGTGGGTGACAGGAGTCCAGAAGCCAAAGGGACTTCAAAGGACGACAGAAATGAGAACCACATTTTTTTGAGAGCAACACTTGATGAGACTAGCTCACACTTTCCACCATACACTTGGGGCTAATTATGTGAATAAATCCTAGAGTACGATGGATATAGTAGCCGAGATTACGGGATTATAGCTAGCCAGCTAGATAGGACACGAAGGAAGAGTCGAAATAGGTTTGAATAAATGACTTCTAGAATAAAAAACCAATTCGGATTAATAAGCTAAATCAATGAGGAAGGCTATCAAACCTCACTAAGTTAACGGTCCGATGATGGAAATTAGCGGGACTATTATGGTAGAGGACACAGGGCTAGGCATGCTTCACAAGGTCACCCTGTCGCCCCTACCAAGTCGAGAAAGCATGATCATACCAACTCATTACAGCTCCTAAAAGTTAATATTAAGGAAAATCTTTGCATACGCATCATCATTGCTGATGTATTCTGAACAGGATGCTGTTGTTGCTGTTGTTGCTGCAACTGCAGCGGAGAGTGTAGTTGATGCTGTAGAGCAAGATGATGGTGCGATTGATGTGGGTGTTGTGGTTGGTGTGACTGCTGCTGCTGAGAATGATGATGCTGTTGTTGTTGTTGTTGGGAGACGGGCATTACGCCCAACTCATCCAAAAGCTGATGGGCCTGTGCCTGTGTGCCAGGAACGGCATGCGGTGCTAAAGCATCCCAAGGATGGCTCGGAACGGAAGCTTGGGCAAGCGAAGGCCCTTGAGAGGCGGCCCCAGTGGTCACGGCAGAGGCAGTCGAGGCATAAAATGCGGAAGAAGCGTTTGGAGGATAACCGCTAGTTGCACCACTGGCCAAAGAGTAGCGTACACTAGAGAAGGGTGAATAGGCCTGGAGGCAAAGACATTACATTATAAAGAGATTATTGCATATTAAAGGGCAATTACAAGTATTTGCTCCACTATGAGGAGTATATTCATTCTCATAACAATAAAGGGATGTGCAAGGATAGAATTAAACAATAGTTAATTGGCAAAAAAACAGATTCACTTGATCGAGTAACTGAGCCTGCTTATGTTTGCTTTCGATCTAACCATAAGCCTCCAAAGCGAGCACAGTTTGAGTTAGGCCAATCGAGACAAAAATTTTCAACAATATGAAATCATGAAATAATATCACTCACAGTTCCACCCTAAGTATAAAATGATTCACAAAAAAGTATATTGCCAGTAATAAAATTTGGCGTCATACGCCAATCAAACGTTATAAAACAAAAGTAAAATTAATGTGATGAAAGGTTATTGGAATAAGTAAATTAAAATTTCAATAGGTGGCCTATATTAACCGCTTGCCTAGCCAATTAAATGTTTCTGATCCATAAATAAAAAAATAAGCTTAATCGACATCTTACAAAAGTGCGAGTGATAATTCATTTGAACGTGAAAGCTTGTTCAGATTAGCCCTTCCATTTAAGGGAAACTATGCAGATCAGGCCACTTTATTCCGCAAAGGGTAGAGATGCAAGAGAGAGCTTAACGAGAGGAAGCAAACTGTTGATTCACACATTTTATTTATTGGAGGATTATTGAATTTACTTCCTTAATAAGAAGGATTTTTACTTATCATAAGTTGGGGCTGGATATAATGAAAGTAAGCCCAGTTCTAATGGCTGAACAGCAGCTGAGATTAGAGCTGAAACTAATATAACAATTTTCTTCGCCTTAAAATCGTAGCTTCCCACCGAAATTGCATCTAGGCTTTGGCAAGCTAAGACTTTTGGTCGGAATTGCTAGCCCGAGATTAGGTCAAGTAGGTCCCTAAAAATCGATAAATGTTACTTTAAAAAGAGATCCTGAGATATATGCGTATAAACCTAAAAGTCGGATATTGCGAGAACGGAAATAATTTGTAAGAAGGGAGGCTAAGAGAGCTCAAATAAAATAATAATAAAAATTAGAACAACTCAAATACAATATTTAAAATGACGCTATTAAGCTGATGAACATTATCATTATTCGATCGAAGAACATTTAAATTAGAGTGAATCGA